CGTCTGCACCGCTGGTAAGCTCCACCTCCTCTTCCTCCTCCCCCCAGTGTTCTTGATGGATTCGTGGCCTCCTAATGCCTACGCTCTCTCTCGATTTGTTGCAGGTGACGTGGATTTGCGTCCTCTTGAAGCAAGTGAGTTTTTCCCCTTCTCTTTCTCCATTTTTTCTGTGCGATTTGAAACCCTAGGTCACCATTGTTTGTTGATCTCGCTGCAGGCACACCAGATCTGATTTCTTGGCTGTTATTGCCGTATGGATCCTTGTTCTTAGGTCTCTTTTTTTTCTTGTTTTTTTCAAGTAAAAATCCTATTTTGTGTACGCTAATCCTCTTTTCTTTGCTTGTGTGCTTGCAGATCTGAGCTCCCTCACCTGCTGGGTTGGGCTTTTGCTAGTGCTGCTGCTTGTTGGCGTGGGTATTTTGTATATCTACTCCCCCTCTCGCCTCCCCCCTAATTTGTACCGTGCGATAGTAAGTCCTGCGTTCTTAGATTCGGATGCATGTCCTACTTTGTGAGATTATGAGCAAGTATATGAAGTTGCCATTTTGTCTGAGCTATTGTTCGAGTCTGTGATGATTCCTTTTGTCCTGAGCTATTGCCTTAGTCTATGATGATGCCTTTTTTCTGAGCTATTGCCCTAGTCTGTGATGTTGAAAGTCTTATTTTTAGCATGTTCTAGTATATGATGAATCCTTTTTCTGAGCTTGTCCAAGTCCATGATGATGACATTGTCATTCTGAGCATTTGTCCTTAAATTCCATTCATTTTTTCTAGATGGACTTGGCAGAGAAGAGACACATTCTTTTTGCTGGTGTTGCTGCTCTTATCACTGCTATGTATGTCCTGCTGTTTGCTAGACTTAGAATGCTTCAGAGTCAGCGGCCTCAGATCAGTTATGGTCCAATGAGCATTAGGGATGAGGAGCGCCAAAGGAACTTGAACTTAATTTACAACTACAATGATATAGAGTGTGTGAACATGCTTAGAATGAGAAGGGCACCCTTTTTCCTGTGATTCTTCACTTGATTTGAGACTTTGGGCAATAGCAATGATGTTTTTTTTCTGTGATACTACACTATGCTAAGGCTTTGGGCATGTGCAATGATGATAAATTTTCTGTGATACTACACTTATGCTGAGGCTTTGGGCATGTGCAATGATGATAAATTTTATATGATACTACACTTATGCCGAGGTTTTGGGCATGTGCAATGATGTTTTTTTCTTGACATAATACACCTGTGCTGAGGCTCTGGGCATGTGCAATGATGAATTAGGGTATGGCTGAGGAGATGATGCCTGCTGATGAGCTTGTGTTCCCTGGACTGGATGGTGGTCTTTTGGCTGGTGACAATGTGGTTGCTGGGGATGATGTGACTGGTTTCATACCAGCATCACAGGTTCTTGCTCAGCAGAGGACTGTGTAGTGGGTGGTGGCCTGTCCCTGTGCAGTGGTGGCCTCTTTTGTGCATACCTAACTACAGCTGGTGGATGTGTAGTGGGTTGACCTTCTCTTTTGTGCAGTTGATCTGATTCTGCATAGCTTACTTACTAACACTAACATATAGTTAGTGTCTTAGATAACCCTGCACCTACAACCTAGATCAACCTAGTGGTGGCAATCTGACCATGAGTCCATTGCCAATGATGTGAACCTTATGGTTTTGAACTTGATATGGGCACCAGCCTGTGCCTGTGATTTGCACAATTTCATTCTGAGCACTTGCCTTATTGCCTGTGATGTTTGTTTTTTTATATCTGAGCACATGTCCATTGCCTGTGATGCTTTATGACTGAATTGAGCACTTGTCCATTGCCTGTGATGTTTTTGGACTGATCTGAGCACATGTTCATTGCCTGTGATGTTTTTTGATTGATCTGAGCACATGCCCATTGCATGTGATGTTATTTTGATTAATCTGAGCACATGTCCATTGCCTGTGATGTTTTTTTGATTGATCTGAGAACATGTTCAGCTATGGCTTGGTATGTTGTTCATGTTGGGAAGGAGGCTGGGGTCTACTCCAGCTGGGCCGCAGCACATGCTCAAGTAGATGGTTTCAAGGGAAACTGCTACAAAAAATACAAAACAAGAAATGAAGCTTTGCTAGCTTTCTATGGTGATCAACCTGAAAATCCACCTCTCCTCCAACCTGTCAGTGCACCTCTACTAGAAAATGATGGAAATAGCAACTTTCACTTGTGCCACAGTTTATTTATACTTGTAATAGCAGTAGTTATTGCCTTGCTAGTAGGTTTTTTCATTTGGAAATTGATGTAATATCGGATGTCAACTAGTGGGTGGTAATGTTACCACTACATGCAAGAGATGACTAGAACTTGTTGTATGCAGCCAACCAAACAATGATCCATATATGGGATTTTTAAATCTGCAAACACATGCATGCAACCAAACACTGTCTCAGTCCAGCCTGGTTCCACATATACGTGCAACCAAACAACCCTTGTTGCATGCATCTGGCCTGGACAAATGCAGCCTGGCTGCCTGGAGCTGGCCTAGCTAGGCTGGGAAGGGTACCAAACACGCCCTATGCGGTGGAAGCTGACATTAAGGTCATAAATGCCGAAGCTCAAAGCTCACACGTACCGAGGGGTGCCATGCTTTCTTGTGCAGGGCCTTGTTTAGATTGTCTCAAAATTCCAAGTTTTTTCACTCTCTCTCTATCACATCAATTTTTGGACGCATGCATGGAGCATTAAATGTAGGTAAAAAAAAACTAATTACACAGTTTGGTTGTAAATCACGAGACGAATTTTTTGAGCCTAGTTAGTCCATGATCGGACAAAGTTTGTCAAATACAAATGAAACGTGCTACAGTGTCCAGATTACAAAAATTTACAATCTAAAAGAGGCCCAGGTCCACAAGTAAATGGAGAACACATTCTTCGGCAGCCCAGCAACCTGAATACTTACAGACAATGTATCAAGTGCAAACCAATCTCTCCGTGCAAACCAACTGCGGGGGAGAGGTGGGAGGGGGGATTTGCAAAAGTGTAATTAGGAGTAATTACACTTTTGCAAATCCCTCCTCCCACCTCTCCCTCGCAGTTGGTTTGCACGGTTTGCACAGAGATGTTGGTTTGCCCTAAGGGGGCTCCCTGCTGTGCTTCCGAGAGCAAGATGTTTCTCTGATGCCTCGATAGATCCAGACAACAACAGCTTCAATGCTCGCAAAGCTGGTCTAGGAATTTTCATCCTGGACCCAAGTCACCAAATCAAGTACTTCATCAAAGCGCAAATCAATCAAGCTACTTCTGTCCTTATGACAGAAGCTGCGGCTATAGCGCTTGCTGCTCGAATTACTTCTTTGCTAGTCATAAGAGATGCCTCTTTTCTCACTGACAGCCAGCTCCTTGTCCGCTTTTTCAATGGCTCAGAATTATGCACACCACCCCGCTGGGACATCAAGCCTTTCACCCAAAGTTTCCTCAATGCGGTGGCTGGCTCCAATAGCAAAGTCTTCAAGATTGACAGGCACCTCAATACAACTGCCCATCTATTAGCCAATCAGGCTTTTAGGAACTCTGAGCCTCAATGTAATCATAGAACATTTAGTTGTACCAATGCAAATCACGATAGCAGCTGCCCTCTGATCATGGCACTGTAGAATGTACCTGTGGACCTGTACTCCCTAATTGCAGCATCTTGCTGCTAATAATAAAAGTGCTTGTTGTCAACAAAAAAAAAAAGGAGGATACGTGGACAGCTTCCGCCGCCTGGGATGCCGCTCGACTCCCTCGTCTGCAACGCCGCCATCTACCGGCCCACAGCACGGACGCCAACGTTCACGGTGAACGGGTGCGTGATGATCGACGGCTCCGCGGCCTCGCTGGCCGGGAACATCCCGCCCAAGTTCGGGCTGGGTGACCTCCGCCGGCCTCGCGGTGGGCCTGTGTGGCCAGAACGGGTCCGCCATGAGGCTACACCACGAGGCTGTTCCGCGAGCACATCCCGCTGTTCTGGCTGCTCTTCCCGCCGTTCCAGAAGTTCATCACCGTTCACCGAGGGATGCATCTCTGTACACAGGAAGCCAGCCATGGAAGTCACAAAGCTTTTGTGTACGTGGTTGTTAAGATGAGCTAGGTCTATTTTTTACTTGACCCAAAATGTGCTGGTTTACCGAATAGTTGTTCATGTTCTCAGAAATCCTTTCAGTTATTACGAGCTAAAAACATGGTTTTGCTGAACTGATCACAATCTCACCATGTTCGATAAGTTCTCAGCAAATGGATGCAACATAATGTTGAACTGTTCTCAGAAATACTCTCAGTTACGAGCTAAAAACATGGTTTTGCTGAACTGATCACAATCTCACCATGTTCGTTAAGTTCTCAGCAAATGGATGCAATATAATGTTGAACAGAGTCATGAGCACTGTCTCCTATTGTAATAATAATGCTGGTGACGAGCCCAGCCAGTAGTCCTTGATTCTCAATCACAGCAGAGTGACTGCATGCGAAACAGACAGATTGCAACACAAAATATAAAGACATGACATTAACCATGGCCAAACCCTTCGTAACTAAGAGAGACTAGCACGATACGCGCGCTTCGCTGCGTGCGCACCTGCTATACACGGCCATGGTAATTATGTTGGTTTAATATATCGATTTAGACCATACGTGTTGATATGTGTTGATAGGTGGTGCATTGCTATGGGGCGACGACTACATCACCGGTACATCGTTCTAGGCTTCTCGCTGTAGGGATGTACGTTTATTGGTTTTAGGCTGCTATATATGATTTTTCACATGAATTTTACTCAGAATCTGAAGTCATAAGTAGTAAAAATAAAGGCAATAAAACCAGTTACTGATCTGACTCATGCAGTAAACAGAACTTCCACTACAAATTTATATACTATAGATAAATAAATTGAACATGGCGTCTAAATTATTAAAATAAAGAATCGCATAATGACCATGTACAGAAGGACAGGCAAGATTGATCATCATAAATACTAAATTTTGTAACTTCTCTACCTCCTAGTTGCTAATTCCCATAATATCATGACACCAAGCTGAACAGTTTCTCTATACCAAGATGAATCAAACACTTTAGCTGAAGTTGAGAACCTGCACATATCGGGTGTCATCATATTATATTATAGTAAGTAGGAATATAACAATCTAACACCTATCAGAGCATTATGCATAGATAGATGCCAGAGTAGATGAGGCAAACAGGGGAAGCCTCTTTAGGTCTTACGAATTGAAACTCCAACAAAACTTAGTTTGATTTATTACACTTACTGAGTGTTTCAAAAGTAGAAATTGTTCCATAAATGAAAAGGATAAATTAAACAACCCGAACCATGCCAGCAAAATATGGCACTATATACTTTACTAAGATTGACTTTTTCAAGTAGGACTTGACTACATGAAAAAAATTTGAGCTAGGCATAGAGGGATCTTTTTTAATATGATCCTATTTTGAATAGAAGGGGAAAACAACTAACAATTCAGACTTAGAATTATAAAGGAATCCGCTCAGATAAGTGAACATATAATTTTTAATCAATACAAAAGGCACGCTGCTTGCCTTGACTGTTATAATCTCACCTTAAGAGTATATCCTCAACTAACATTAAAAAAGGATACAATTGGAGTAACCTCTCCTTTTCGTCTACTCAAACCAACTTGTCTGTAAAAAAGCAAGTTTCTTTTTTTATAGCTACAAAAAGATGTGCTAGAATAGATGAAATAAGGAGGCGGCAAAGTTCATTCCTAGTATTGAGGCGGTAATTGGAGAACAAACAGAATTGACATATCATGTTTATAGGATCCACACACCATGAAGAGTTTATCTGCGTAGCACAACACAGAGGGATGAGTTGCAAGTCCAAACATCTGCAAAGTACATATTTAGTCAAATGTATAATCCTGATCCATTAGCACCAGCATGCATACATAATTTTCTGAATGAAACAAATTAAGGGACAACTGAAAAATTCAACATACAAACCAATTGTTCTAAACTGATTTATGGAAAGCTAGGAACCCTGACACTCCAAATAAGTTTTTTGGAGCTAAAAATGCAAACTGTAGGGAATGATCAAAATTTCCAAGGTAACTACTTTATTAGGTAATCTAGAAACCACACAACATGAACCGAGTGCACATGATCACAGGTAGTAACTTACCATGAAAAATAATTCATCTTGCATACTTGCTGCGTCAGGAAACTGACAAATTAAGGTCCTCTAGGTCCCATGGTTCTGAAGCAAAGAAAAAAGATATGAGAATAACAGATGCATCAGTTAAGAGATTTACGATCAGCACTGTAATAGAAAAAGAGCCAAGCATATTGGTTCACATATTACTATGTAGTCAGCTCAGCTTATTTGAATCCCTACAAAGTGAAGCATTACCACTTTCACCGAAATGGTATCCTAATTTCACTATAAAGCAAACAAAAAACCAAGTACAGACAAATTGACAAAGTGAAGCATCACAACAGAGACATATCATCGAATACGCAGGATGCAAAGAGCAGAGTAACGTATTGAGTCTGGCCGCTTCAGGGTTGCACATGATGCTGCTCTCCAGGCTTGGGAACGCCACGAACCAGCATTGCACAAGATGTTTCTCAACCGGCTTGAATGCCACAAATTCCAGTAGCTGGAGGCCATCACAGCGTGGTCGTTGTGCTGAGTGCCGTAAACCCTTTGTGCCGCATGGGACTTCCACTGCCGGGACCTGAGAGTAGAAAATAAAGAGGGGGGTGGAGATTAGGGCCATCACATACCTATCACCTTGGCCACCTTGTTGTTCAGTTGGAGAAAGCTTTATCTCGCCATCATCAGTGTTGCTTTGACGAAAAAGCGAGGCAGCATGGACGACACCACATGGCTTAACCTGCCTACTGATGGCACCGCGACGGTGGATCCGGCGTCGGTGGCAGTAGACTCGACGCCGGCGTTGGTGGACCCGATGTGGATGCGCGCATGGCGAGCAGATCCGTCGTCGCTGCCTGAGCACGCACGAGCGATGACGATCTAAGAAAGGGCGGCGTGGGATGGGATCGGGGGAAGCGAGGGAGGGGGCGACGACAGAAAGGGGAGGCGTCGAGGAGGAAGAGGACGGGGGCGACGACGAAGAGCACGAGAAGTGGAGGACGGAGACGGAGAGAACGAAGAACCGAAGACGGAGGGGTGGGGAACAGACAGCGACTGATTTGTGCAGCTCTGATTGGAGTACAGTCGTAGAGGCCTCCGCTGGCCTCCAAATAAGTGGGTGTTTCCTCCTAAATATACGTATACATGGGTATTAAATATAGACTAATTATAAAACTAATTATACAGTTTATGACTAATTTGTGAGAGGAATCTTTTAAGCCTAATTAGTCCATGATTTGACAATGTGGTGCTGCAGTAAATATTCGCTAATGACGGGTTAATTAGGCTTAAAAAATTCATCACGTGGAGTACTAACGGATTATGTAATTTATTTTTTTATTAGTATCCGAACACTCCATGCGATACCCTCATTTGACACATTCTAAATTTTAGCCACCGGATCTTTTAGTTGAGGGAGTAATTATACGTAGGACTAGAAAAGTGGAAGCAAGATGATTAGGATCAGCGGCCAATCTACAAAGGGATTTTTTACTGACGCCATTATAATTTTTCGAGTTTGGAGATACGCCATTACAATTCGCCTATTTGAAGAACTACCATTCTAATTCCATCTCTCCCTCATCCGTGCCATTTTCTACACCTCCTGTGTATACGGGTCCACTGTCAGACCCGTATTCATACAAAAACGCGTACACGAACGTGTATAGACGCGTACAGACCCACTGGACGCGCACGGCAGCTTCCGCGACGCCCTGGTTGTGCTCACCGCGCTCTAAGCTGAGGCTCGTGCTACGCAAGGAGGAGCTGGTCCGGCTGGCGTTGGCCGCATGCGCGCTCCGCCGGTCTGCGCGGGACCTTCTACGGGTCGCGTCCTCGGCGCGTGCCGTGGTCGCCAAGACCCAGCCCATAGACCCCCGACAAGACCCCGCCCGCTCCGACGAGGATGTGTTGTTCTTGCCAGACTTGCGGCTAGCGACCGTCTCCTTGGCCTGACAGAAGATCTCGCGCGCGTGCTCCTTGGCGGCCGCCCTCTCGTCCTGTCCGCGGCGGCTGCAGGCACCATCCTTCTTCTTGCCGGATGCGGTGGCGGCGGACCAGGACGTGGGCGTGCTGGGCATGGATATGTAGTGCGCGGCCCGATCGAGGACGTTCTCCTTAAGCGCCTGCAGCGACAGCCTGGGCCCGTCCCACGACATCATCGTCTTCATGTACGACGACATCGCGGACAGCCCAGACAACCCCCGAGCGACGTGTATGTGAGAGTCCCAAGGACTACATGGGCAAGGACGTGAACGTGAACGTCAACAACTTCCTCGCTGTCCTGCTTAGCGACAGGTCTGCATTTATCTTCGAGAGCCTCCTGCCGGAGAACATCGACGTGTACACGACCACGGCGGGGAACGTGAAGGAGAGCAGCTGGGGCACCTACTAACCCGGCAACGACCCGGATCTGCCGCTCGAGTTCGACACCTGGCTCGAGGGCCTCCACAGCGTCGCGTGGATGGAGGACAGCGACGCGGGCGACCGCCGCGCCGAGTTCACTGAGGCAGCAGTACAAGACGGTGAAGGACCGGACGTCGGCGCACAACACCTCGCCGCGCAGACCCTCTACATGTTCTCATGGGCACCGACGTGAAGGGCCCAGGGTGCTCGGCATCGTGCGGCCGCCGCGGCAGCCCTGGACGACCGAGGACGAGCGCCGCCGTTCCGCCTCGCGCGCTGGCCGCCGTGGGCGAGCGCGGCCGCTCCGCCTCGCGCGCAGGCCGCCGTGGGCGAGCGCCGCTGCTCCGCCTCACGCCCAGTGGGCTGTACGTGCGTTACTGTATACATACGTATCCGACAGTGACCCATGTACGCGAGAGGTGTAGAAAATAACACCGATGGAGAATAGATGGAATTATAATGGCAGTTCTTCAAATAGACGAATTATAGTGACGTATCTCCAAACTTAAAAAATTATAATGGCTTAACAAACTAACCCATCTACAAAGGCACAAACGTGGGGAATTCTTAGAGACTTTAGCCAAGAGTGACAACTTCAACTTCAGAGGCGTTTTACAGCACAACGATGAGAGCTTGCTGAAGGCAAGGGGACGCCAGGAGGAACTTTAAGTTACTCCGTACTTCTTTAATGGCATGAATGAAATGTAATACTGGCCTCTTTTTTCCTCAAAAACCACAGTTTAGGCAACTGAGAAGAAATAGGAATTCGCATAGACCTTAATCTATTCAATGCTATATCAATAAGATCTGTACCAAAAGGAAGACTCGTCATTGATATCAGCTCAGACACTTCGCAAACATATTTCTTTGGTTCCAGAATGAGTTTAAATACTGCATTAGGTACTCAGGGAAAATATAGTGGGGCGCCAAAGCTAGATGCATTTAACCTTAAAGTTCTCTTAACTCAAAAACCCTAATCCAAAGTGCAAATAAAGTGTAGCCATCTCAACCATCAAACATGACATCGTAGAAACCGAAGATGAGACTGCTCAAGCTTCAACAGCAACCCTTCCAGCCACTTGGTCCAGATCACGCCTTCCCTGGGACGTGATGAGCCTTCCACTGCAACACAACGTCCTATAAGCAAACTTCCACAGCCAGAAAAAGTCGTTAGTAAGAGAAAGGGGTATAGCAGTTCAAATACCCCTTGGGATCGACATCAATGATGCCCATCTTCTGCAGCTGCTGCAGGATGTTGCGTGAAATGGCACCACTGCTCTTGCAGAAGTGTGGTGGGCGGGAGCCATTCCTCTGGCGGCCACCGTAAATCTTCTGGAAGCCACCGACACCAATCCCTTGCCTCAGGTAGATCTTCCTTGCAATGGATGCTGGAGTTGAAGAAAATTAAAAATCTGATAGAGTGCAAAATCTGGACATTGAAGTTTATACTACTAAATGATTTTACCAAACAAACAAGATCCCTTACCAGCCCTGGTGTAGTACCAGTCAGGGTCATAAGGAGGGAGCTCCTTGAACCTCGCAGTCTTCACAATGTCAACCCACTCAGGGAGCTCCATCTAACAGAAGACAAGGAATTACACATAGCAACATAGGAATATAGTAATTATCAATACCAAGAAAGGAATATAGTCATTATCGATACCAGAAACCCGATGCAATTTAGGAAACATTTTCCCAACCTCAACTCTAGACTGTTTGCTTGCCAATGCAACACAGACTTGTTTCTTGAAGCAACAAAAGCTTTAACTATGATTTTGAATTAATAGCCTAATAAAAAAGAAAGCTCGATAATAGCAGCACTTGAGCCAAATATAATAAGCAGCCTACTATTCAGCATGAGAGAAATGGAATCAGTGTTCAACTTCCTGAATCAGAGCAAAGGTTCACACCACACCCAAGGCTAACCACTGTCTTGACGGATATTAATAGAAAACAAAATAAATCACAACTCATATAAGGCCTGCATAGATGAGTGCTCAGGGAATTTTCAGCGTATACAGTAAAAAAATTTGCCAAAAACCCACGCATATGGACAAGAAAAACCACTTTACAAACAGGCTTTTATGCACAGGTGATCTAGACTTGAATAAGAAAAGCTACCACGGAGGCCTAAGACTCAAAAGAACGGCCTTGCTTATGCCTAACAGATCCGAATTAGTAGTTATGTGAGCAAATTACACTCCAACCTACCAATCAAATGTCCAGAAGGCACACAACATAAACGGTGAAATTGTTTCGAGATGGTCTGGGTAGCAACAGTGGGCGAGTCGGGCACGGTTACCTTGCCAGAGCGCTTGAGGTGGGCGGAGTAGGCCTTGACGAACTCGTGGGGGTTGACATCCTTCACCGTCCTCGCCGTAGATGCCGCCATCCTGCCGCCGCCGCCACGGAACGAGAGAGAGGCAGGTAGTGTGGATGTGGAGCGGCTGCTCTGGGACTAGGGTATGGTGGAGCGGTGTAGGATTTATATATGACGATGGGGTTGGCATTTGGGCGTCGGACGAGGATCCAACGGTTGCGATGGGGTGAGCGGCTGGGTTAGGGTTGGCGATGGGTATGGGCAGGACGAGCACGGTGTAAGCGGGCCAAGTTGAGGTTGGGCCGAGAGGCGAGGGCAGTGCCAACAGTGTATTGACGATGGTTTCTATCTTCATTAAATGATTTGTTATGTAGATAAAATGCTGACATGGCAATGTAGTTAATGAATAAAGAGAGCAAAAATCATAGAAATGATTTCCTCATGAAGAAATCAGGTCTTCTCTTGACCCAATACACCAAGAAATCATAAAATCGCCATTGGGGAGAAATCACCAGTTTCTAGGGGGCTCGTGCCGCACTTTCATTAGAGGAAGAAGATAGAGTTAGGAGAGAGAAAGAGAAAATAATTATTACTCATAGAAATCATAGATTGGAAAGCAGTACTTTTTGGTGCGGTATCCTATGCTATAGAAACTACTAGTTTCTTTCATTGGGACTACCCTAACAAAACGATGAAAACGGATAGTAGCAGTAGGGATGAAAACGGATACCAAGGAATATGATATTATATTTGTTTTCATATTTTAGTCTAAATTTGGATTCGAATACGGATAGTATCAACCATACCGGATATGATACAATTGGATATTGATACCATAAATATGTGATTTCAGTATTCGGATACGGATACTGTATCGGATGTTGAATATCCGGACTCGGATACGGACAGATTTGAACCCCTCTAAACGGATTTGGTCTCGAATACGGTCGGAAAATAATAGTACCGTTTTCATCCCGTCTTCGGAATGTTTAAAAAAAACAGGAAATGAAAAAGAAAAAGAAAAAACTCTTCGGAATCCGTTTGGGGCTCGTAGCCTCTTGCATGAGGAGTCCTTTCTGTTTTCCTTTCCTCTCGTTGTCTGCTGTCTGTGTCTCTCATCCACCGAACGTGGAGAAGGTGACTCCCTTCTCTTCCTTCCACTTGCAATCGGTCTTTGCACTCTTTCACAACTTCTTTTTCCCGGAAGCCTAGGTTTTCTTTAAATTAAAACATTAAAAAGTCGTTAACCAAGTATATGCTTGTCTCTAGAAAAAGCCCAAATATAGTCTCTTGTTTCTAGATTATAGTTTAATTTGGTTTTGTTCTAAGTCAAATTCTGTATTTTTAAGTATTTTAAAAAAATAACCAACATCCACAACATATTCTTCATGGAATGTATTAAAAAAACATAATCAAAATTTAAAAGTTCGGATTAGAATAAAAATGAAACAACCTATAGAACATTAGCTCAACTCAAATCTCTTTTTGCATCCACAAAACAAAGAAGACAACATCCAGGCGAGGAGCCAGCAAAACATGTCATAATTAGATAACCAAACAAATAGGCACCGATACCAGTATACAACATATTGGGTGCAACCGATTAATTATTCAATCAGATTGTATGGAGGTCGTCCAGACGATGAAAGAAGGAGGATTCATAGCAAATTCGGCAGCAGCTTTATATGATGAATGCAATATAAATTGGAGTGGTTTTTAGGATATAATGATCGAGCATTGCAATAGAGAGGCAAATCAAGCAGCGCATAATTTAGCTAGAAGAGTGATGCAATCGAAGCAAAAATTGTACTTGGGACGATGAGCCCCCTAGCGTTATTCTTGATTTCCTAGCGAATGGTGTAACTATCCTGAATGAATAAAGTCTGCCATATTATTTCAAAAAAAATGAGAACGAGGTATACTCTCTTTGTTTCCCTTTTAGGATCCGATCGAAACGCATAAATCATATAAAAAATTTGTATGAATCAGTTCAATTTTACAGAAAAATGTAAGAACAGAAAGTTCTTCCTACGTTTTGAACAAACCCTTATAAAACGTATTTTTAGTATTAAAAAAGAGTCAAATCTTATTGAATTTGACTAACAATTTGTTAAATTAAAACTACGTGCATAGCTAGTGTACGAGTGTTGCATTAGTATATTCCCATTCACAAATAATTTTGCCTAAGATGGAGGGAAGAATAGTCACTTTGCAATTAAAAGCAGTATAACAATCTCGTAATACACTATATATAAATGCTCATGTGTTACGACGGAAGCAAAATAATACCTGGCCCTCAATGTGTGCTAGTGTCTTTGTGTGTCGTGTGTCACTTGAGGTGTTGTTTTGGGTTCTAAACACCCTAGGTCTTTCTCGATTTGCATCCCCAATTCATGTGTATCGTTTGGTTTCCTGAATGCAATGTTCCTCATGCCGCAGTGCAAAATTTTGTGCGTTGCAAGATGCATAAAAATTTCAATGTTTTCATAATTGGTCAGTAACAATAGTGTTGATTGTCGCCACCTCAAGTCATTTCTAACATAAACAAGGCAACCTTCTGAACCTACCAAGACACTTGCTCTCGATGACAGTTAAGCTCTAGTCTATCGGCGCCATCACATGGCTGGACACGGACTATTTACGATGTCGCACAACCAGCTACACCTCCTATCCCTCCATCAGGTGCCACTACTTTTACGGGCTTCCCAACCAATCAACCATTCAGCGTTCTCCACATTTGTGGTCAAATTGTACCACAAAACTCAAGTTTGTGTTGAGTTCTAAAATAGTTTGAAGCTTCATTCCGGAGCATCATTGGCAGCCCAATGTTGTACTGCAAAATGCAAATGGGATGGTGATCTTTAATATCAGTTGTTTTCGACTGATGGATACAAGCTAGTTTAAATTATTCATGGAATTAATCTGTAGAAAAAGCATTTGATGTATCTCTAAAAATCAAAGTGGGTGCTTGGGACCAAATGAACCTACAAATTGTAAAGGCAAACTTAGCAAAAATGTGATGAAGAAATGTTTATAGATAAAATGAAGACATGACTTGTGCATCTTATTATAGTACAGATTGCTCAAAAGTTAAAATGCATCATATTATAGCACGAATTCCTTAAGCTTTGTGCATCATAAATTCCTTAAGCCTCAAAAGTTTAAATGTATCAATCTAGGCAGTTCAAAACCTGAGAGGAACAGATTGCTCGTGCATCCATTTTCAGCAGAGAAGGCTTATTGCAAAACTGTCAAAATCAATAAGCGAATGTAGATAGTGATCCATAATCACCACAAACACGCAAAGTCAGATAATAATCCATAATCACCTTGAATTCTCCAAATGCGCAGAGTCACTTGGGAATTTGCTCCACCGGAGGAGAGAACATCTAAAGAACAGGTTTACAACAGAGCAGTAGGATTCAAAGCAGAGCAGTAGGGCGTATTGTCCTAAAAAAAGATGGACACAATATCATCATTCATGCCTATCCACTCATTCTGATTAGCTGGTATCATCACGCCCGGAAGATATAAGACAGTTCAACACAATTCGCTGCTAAAAAAGATTTGGATGGTTTTGAAAGCATCTAGGCCCCTTGTTGGGCTTCGGTGATTAATGACAATACAAGATTACTATGACTAACGTGTGTTTTGCAGAGGCAATTAAGTTAGGTCATGGTAATGGAGATCGATTGGGCAATCATGGATGTCATGCCCCTACGATGAAAATCGTTTCGATTTTCAAATGATGGACGATAAGATTAAGGATGACTAGTTCTAAGTGTCGATTGGAGTTTGAGAGACACTTAGAGTAGTTTAGGACTTTTTTTTTCCTTTGGCCATACTATTAAGGGTGGTATGGACGGGTAGCTTGACCTAGGTGAGTCTAGTGAGTTAGGTGTGGTGCACACTTGCTAAGTGTAACACCCTCGGTGTTATATTGTAATGTTTTTGCTAAAACACTGCATTAGCATCATACTTGTTTGTACATGTGTGTAATTGGGAGTATAAATCAATATACGGCATTGAAACATTTATCCGAAACAAGAAATAAATGTTAAGTTTCATGTCACGTTATATTATTGGTGTCCTAAACGAATTTTTATTAAACAAAAAGGCTAATGAACGCATGCATGCAATTGGCTCTCCTTTTCATGTTGCACACAAAGCACGCAAATTTTGTCATCACGTTGTTTTTTAGGCGGTGGCGGCCAAACCAATCGAGATGACCCACCCTTTGTTATCATGCGTGTGAAGGACGAGTGCGATACATGATGTCGGTGCCTAACTTCGTCACTATCTTTGTAGTACGATGTCGGGGCTTCCATGCAAGTTCTCGTCACCACGGCCGCTTTAAGTTCGAACGCGATCGCCTCGCAAAGTAGTCTAGCAAAGACTCCACCACTTTCCGATTAGCAATACTCACATCGCGCTTTTACGCATCGAGCTAGTAGCGGCGCCGACGAACTCCACGCGACTGCGTCCGAGCAAGAAAGCGGTGCGGCCAGAGTGTGTGGTGCGTCATTGTTGTTGTTAGCTTGTTGGCGTCACCCCCACGTCACACATGTTTTGTGGCCGCTTTTATGTAGGAAAATAAAGCCCGAAATACATTGAAATACATCTTGGTCCGGCTGTTTCTTCGCTTCGCTTTCGCCCTTCATTGTGCTTTGCTTGCTTGCCATCATAGCTAGCTCTGGCGCCATTGACGCGTGGGCGCGCTCTGAAATCGCTTCATGCCATTTTGGCCGCTTACGCCCTGCAGATTGCACCTATACGCTTGCTACGCTAGCTGCTATACTTTGCCACGCTGCCATCGTAGCCCATGTTACAGCACACACTACACACACTTGCCTTTGCTGGCCATTGCCTTGTTGCCCTATTTGAACGCATTGTCGCTTTCATTGCTTGTCATGTTGGGCATTGGCGCTATTACAACATTCTTTGGGCTATATTTACGCATTGTTAGGCTACAAGTTAAGATTCGGTTTCCTTGATTTCCAGTAAAATAGAAATACTTATTTAATTTAGTTATGCGCTAAACTTTGATAAATGATAGTAAATTGTGTAGACGT